GTCCATCATCTGTTTCTTTTGTGGATAGATTTTTCTAAGGATATTGACGAGTGAATGGTGATGATTCTTTGACATTTAATTTTCTTTAGATCTTGACTTATCTTTGTACTTTTACTGTTTGATCAAATTTAATTATTCTTTGTTGTTTTACCTGTTTCTATACATGTTTCTTGTTCTTAATCTAAATTAATTATTAGTTGATAAAAAAAAATCTAACTTTATTATACTTTATAGATACGTTTGGTTTGGGTTGGAAGAGTAAGGACAAAATTGCTCTATTTAGTTATAAAAAGAATTACAGGGGAGAAAATTTTTTACTTTAATTTTTTTTAATAAATGGAGGGAGGAAAGGAAAGAAGGAGAGGGAGAAAAATAAAATGATATAACATCGTACTCCCGATTGATCAAGGGTAGGAGGTTGTATCTTCCCAGATCTAGCCGAATAATTCTAGCCCTCTATTTGAGAACATCATTCCATTTCCCTCCCTTTTGCTTCCCAGATCTGGAATATCATCACCCGATTTGTAAGTAAATTTACATGGTTTATTATTTTAATCTCTACAAGTGCATAAACATTGTTACTTTTGACCAATTTGGATGTGAAATTCCAAGAAAAAAATTTTATAGTTTGAACTTTGAAAGCCTGAGTTACAATTAATTTTAAGCCACTGGCAAATGACACAGCATAACTAATTTTTAAAAAATTTAACCAATGAAGTATATATTTCTTCTAAAAAGTCCTTTCCTCTAAATAATTTTTTTTCTTCAAATGCACTTTAGTACTGACATGAATTTTGTGTATGGTGAAATATTCTATAGGCTAACATGGCTACTTGTCCAAGCATGATTGTACCAGAAGTTCTTAGAAAAGAAAATTATGAAAGGTGGAGCATTTTAATGCGACATTATTTAGTAGCTCAAAATCTTTGGGACGTTGTTCAAGTAAATGAGATTCCTGGCCAGGGAGAGTGGATTCAAAAGAATGCTTTAGCTCTGCATTCAATTAAGGTTTCATGCGGAACAGAAATGTTCAATCGGATTAAGGAGATGGATTCAGCCAAAGATGCTTGGGATGCTTTAGCCGAAATGCATAGAACCCCTTTCTATCACGACATTGTTGAGCTCCAAGAAGTTTTCTCTCAGGACGTTGACGATTTGCAAGAAGAAACGCTAGGTTTTATTACATTTCCTCTGTTTGAGTTTGCTATTTCTTCTGCGCATTTGTTGTTGGAGATCGAATCTCTATTGCCTTACAAGTTACAAACATGATTGGCAGGGCAACGCGAAACCTTGCATAATTTGATTGGCGAGGGGAATATTGACAAAGTAAAGCAGTTCTTACGCAACAATCCGAATTCAAGATCTGAGAATATATTACACTCTGCTATCCACGTTGCAATTACTGCTGGTAAGAAAAACATTGCACGCTATCTCTACAAGAAGACTCCGCAATGTCTACATGGAGATCGTGGCTTCCTCCTCCTCCAAGAGTGTATAAATAAGAAAATGTTTGGTATGAGCTTGAACAATCTTTTTTCTTTTTGCTGTTAATGTTTCACTTTTATCTCACAAACTTTGGTATCAGATATTGCATTCGATCTACTCCACCATGTTCCAGAGCTGGCACTCGGATGCCCTTCTGGTTGCACTCCACTCGTTTTAATGCTTGCTCAATCACCCTCATTGTTGGACGGAAGACGTTTTGGATCTTTGTCACTGTGGATTTATAATTGTTAGTATGGCTTATCTTTTTCTGTTTATTACTTTTTAATTGTTTTAATAAAATATATATATATAATAGTTAATTGATAAAATTTAATATTTTAATTACTCTTTAAATAAAATTTATTATTTAATATATGTTTTAATTAATTTTTAAATAAAGATAAAATAAAA